CCCCAAAACCCCAAAACCCCAAAACCCCAAAACCCCTTTGCGGTGTATATAATTGACTGGAACTCTTTATAAATAATTAGGATATCATGAAAATTAATCACTTTTGAATGAACCAAGATAGCCCCAAGTTTGTCCAATGAAGTAGAGACTCTCTTTTGGGAATGTGCTGTTGCTCTCCTGGAATCTATTACTCATCTCTAGCTAAAGGTAAGTCCTTATACATCAGAGAGTAGTTTTTACATAAGTCTTGATTTTTGTGTGATATGAACAATTTTTAAAAGTAGTCCTTCACAAATAATAATCTTCAAAGATTCGATCGATGAAATTTGTCGTTAAGGGACCTACATTCAGTTTTGAGTAAGCCTTGCTTAGAAATGAGGCCTATCTCACTGATTCTAGTTGCCTTATTGTTTTCGTGAAATATTTCCCAACTTCATATAAGTTAGAAAGTCTGGGACATATCTTGGTGACCATTAAAACTCAACTGGAATTTTATGTCTCACTTGTTGGTGGACTAGAACTAGCACTTGAGCAAGTACAGATGTTCAAAGATATTAACCATAAATTTACCTAAATAGTTAGATTTCTTCACCTCTGATACTGAGAACATTAAGATGTGTCCATTGTATAGCAAATATTTATTTAGAAAGAAATCTTCTTTAAAAATAACATGAAATTTAGGGAAGCCAAAGGATTTCAATATGGACTTATTGGTTGAGCAGCTGCAAGCAACCTTCTGCTTCTGATTTGTCGACCAAATTGTGGAGCCAAGACCGAAGAAGCCGTCTCAGGAATCGAAATCTAAAGTGAAAGATAGCCAAGAATCCTACCACCCTGTTGACAAACAACTTGAAGAAATAAAAGCTGAAGCTATCTTTGAGCCTGAGCCGACAAGGCTGGTAGGAGCCAAGGTTTTTGATGGAAGTGAGCAAATGAGTAATGACTCGCAGTCTGAACCAGATTCTATCCATGGAGGGCCTAATTCAGATTACCAGACTAGGAAAGATGTCGTCTACAAGGCTACCTTTAGAAGGATGAGGAAGTATTTCATCCGAGACTTTGAAATTACTACTAGGCATAATTTTCAGCAAAGAGATTATCTGACCTGTCTCAGAGAGTATTGCACTCTCAAGTTCTCTCAATGTGACATTGCCAGAACCTTAGTGGTGTTTGACTGTATTGTGGATTCTAAATAATAAACTTAGAGCTTTCCCTGGTGAAGACAGACAGCTCAAGGCAACTATTGGGAAGCTTCTATATTGCTATAGTGGAAAGCTGTTCAAAAGAATGAAGGCACAACCTGAGTTCTTGGAGATCCTACTATATTTCCTTAATATCCAAGGAGTAAGCAACCTCATTTTCTCTGAATCAGAAGCTTCATTTCAGCAAAAAGTACAGACTCAACTTCAAAATCTGAGGATCAGTGTCTCTTGGATGAAAGATTTTGACTCTGATTCAGAGTCTGAATAACCCTAATTGGTGTAATTTTGCTAATTTGGCATAATTCTTCTTTTCATTAAACTATCAAGTTATTATTTGTTAGTAAATTTCAAAGATGTTTACATATAAATTCAAATAAAAATCTACACCACGAGTGGCGTATTATAAAACATGGCCGTTCACTAGGTAATCTGGCCGATTATATTTTGCCTTAGAGGCTCCTCAACATGTATGCATACTTTCCTTAATGTTAATATTGCCAGTTTTGACAAACTTTTATCTATGATTTATTAGTTCCGATCATGCAGATTGGAAATACGAAGAATCGGAAGCTAAACATTTCATTAAACAAGATAAAATAGTGCTTCATCTCCAGAGTTATTTATGACTAGCGAAGAGTGCTTATGTAGGTCTATTAGCCTCCTTCTAGAGCTTGGATCGCCTTACTCAGAGGATTTGTAGTTTCAAGCATGTTGGGGAAAAGTTCCACCGTGACTTCATGTTTGATCTTTATAATAAATCGTTTGAAATATTTCAAAATTATTGGAGCTCCTTGGGGTTTTGGGGTTTTGGGGTTTTGGGGTTTTGGGG